TGATCTTTAGGACTACTAACTATTTCTTCTCTACCCCCTTTTTTTTTTTTTCCTCACAGTGGCTCAAGAGCTGTGTTTATTTCCCTGCCATGAAACACCAAGGAAGTTTTCATTTAACAAACCCATCTTCTTTTAATACCTAGACTGTAGCACCATCTGATCAAGGAGAGTTTGTTCTCCAAAGCACCTAAGACACCAGCAGCCTTCTTCCACTCAGCTGCAGATGACCCTAATTCTGGCAGAAAAGCAGGTCTGTGGCATCTCATTAGCAATGTGTAGATGCCTGAAGTTAGCTGAGACTGTACAGCAAATTTTTGAAAATCTATCTGTTATTCATTTTGTGAACTTCTCTGTATTTGAGTAGCAGTGAAAGCATCAACGTGTCAGTTGAAAGGTTAATGCCTCATCAAAAGGAAAAGCATTTATCACACTGAGGTGGATCATCAAAAGCAGCATTTTGCTGCTGTTTTATCCAGAAAATGTTATCTCCTAAATCAGGATAGTGTAGACATTTTAATTCAGTAAGTGAAAAAAATTAGCTAATCTTGAATAGAAAGAAGAGAGATGTATCACCATGCACATTAAAAAGTTTGAGATTTTTTTCAGTACAGAAAGTTGTGGGAGTCTGCAGAGCTTCTCTGGTATTTTATAATGACTTAGGACATGGTTAAGAGGTATCCACTCTTGCAGCTACCAACATTTTTAAAAATAGTGTCCATTTTCCAAAGGAAGGGTATCAGTAAATTGAGTGTCATGAAGGAATAATTTGCACAGAAGCATTGAAGCAGTCTGAGCCAGAAGGTTTGACTGAACTCTCATCTCTAATCTTAGTTAAACTATGCCAGAAATAAATGGGAATAAACAAAGAGATTAGGAAAAGAAGGCAGAAGAAAGTAATAGGAGTCATTAACGTAATCTTCACTTGAGGAATGGGGCAAATGTAAACTGAAAGGGTCTCTGTGTGTAACAGAGACTATAAAAGGAAGACTTTGGTCCTAAAACTGATTTGTGTAGGCTTCTGAAGAAAAAAAAATATCCCACTATCCATCCAAAAGCTTTACACCTGGCCTGTGAACAGGTTTGGTGCCATGAAGAGAAATAAAGGAACCCCTAAATCTCCCCTAGAGCTTGGAAACTGGGGCCTTTAGAGTTGCTAACTTTGCAGGAAAACTGAACAATGGTAGAAAGATCAGAGCAAACATCATTTTCCCTGCCAGACTCTCAGCCATAGCCTCAGGAACTCAGCCTTTGCCATGGGATAGGAGATTGCTGTGGCAGCACAGTCGCCTCCTTTCACAGCTTGAGCCCAGGAACCACAAGGGCCCTGCAGAGGGGGAAGCCTCAAACGGGCAGTATCTAATTTGGTTTGTTTATGTTCCTATGTTCCCTATTGATCTGCACAGGGCTTAGAATCAACAGCTAAAACCAGCAACCTCCCCAGTACAAACTGCAGAGGCAAAATAATCTCAGAATAATTCTTCCAGCTCCAAATCAGAAGAGACAATCAGATCCAGCAGCTGGCACTGCTGGAAGTGGCCCCAAAGTCCACTTGTCACAAGGCTCTGCACAGAGATCAGTGTGTGTTTCAGTTTGGTGCTGCAGGCTGGGATCTCTGTCGATCACAGCAGAGGGTCTTCTAGTCTTTTGAATAAAGCAGAACAGGCAGCATCCATAAAGGCAGTGCATCAACCCCTAATGAGGTGAAACAGGTTCTCAACAGAACAGATGTAATGGGGAGGAGAGAGAGCAGAAGAACAACAATGTTGAAAATAATCCTTTGGGAACAGTTTAATCCCCAAGGACTACTACCAGAATCACTAATTAACAAATAAACTGACTTCAAAACAAGACATGGATATCTATCCTTTAACAAGGACAGGGACTGAATACCTTGGACATGCCACATGAGAAATATTTGACAGTCACTGAGATATGCCCCACTGGAGAAGCTCCTCAGGAGACCACAAAGCACACAATATCTGTACAATAATCCATAATCCCGCTCTCACCACATCATCTCATTTTTTCCACATATCTTAGACCCTTAACACCTTTCTATACATTCCAATACAGAAGGCACAGCACATCCAGTGGTTAGAAAAGCCCCTTTGTATTTGCTTAAAAGGAAAATAAGTCAGTTAAGAAAGGCAAACCAAAATATCTTCCTTGCTGATTTTCCTTTAGATACCTCTGGGACTACCCCAGGTCTGTGACCAGGCAGCACACCCACCAAAAAAGGCATGACATTTTGAGATCTTTCCTCCCTAAATAAGGGCACTGCAGATTTCAATGCTGTCAGCCTAATTTACAGGATACAGGTGTTAGTTATTCTTTAAAACAAGAGCCCTTCATACACGGGGTACCCTGCCTTGTTTCATCTTGCAAGGAAATCAGACTAAGAAATCTTTCTAGTGGTACAGATCACACTGCCTTCATGGAGCCCACGGAAGGCCATATTCCTTCTCTTGTCACTTAGGAAGAAATTCATTCATCACTGAGCAAAATACAAGCACCAGATAATATGCTTTTCAAGCACATGGTATGTGCATTTCCAGCCAGCAGGTGCCTATGCACCAAGGTATGACCATCATTTAACAGATGAATGCCCAGTATTTGCACGTGAACCAGGATTCTTCACATTATGGAATAGGAAATGGACTTTAGCCCCCTCAGAAAAGCAAGCAATGAAATACTAGAATAATTTAACAAGTCCATGGTTTGCTGCCTGTGGATATCCAAGATCTACCAAAGCATGGACACATGCTCCTCCCCCAGTTCCATGTTGTATATTCAGGATTCAGAGGCACTGATTTATAGTATTGTAATCTTTTCTATTTGTTCTTTCTCCATTAAAGTTTTTTCTCAATGCTAACAGGAATTTATTTTTAAGATAGTGGCAATGTAGGGTACTTGCACAGTGCATGGGTTGGCATGACCAATTCCCATGCTTTGAGCACTGCCAGGAGCAAGTGCCACAGCTAAACAGCCAGGAGAGATCTCTGTCAGCAGCTGGAAAAAACCTCCCACACACTACTACTCTCCAATAAAAGATCAAGGTAGTGACCAAAGAAGGACTGCATCACTTAATTCCAGCAACAGCCTGCTCCATAACTGATGCTCCATCCACACCTTCAAAGGACACTCTCAAATCATGTATTTTATTGTACTACAAAATACTTGCCTTGTTCATTCCTGGAAGTTAGAAGTGAAAGGAAAGAATAAACCAGACAATGGCTTTGGAAATACATTCTGACTTCAAAGGGGCATTTGTATGTTGGTAGCTTCTGTAACAGCCAGAAAACTAAAAACAGCAGGAGGCTGGGAAGACAGATAATTCTGGTGACAGACTGCAGAGTAAACAAATAAAAATGAAGCAAACATAGTTTTCATGTTTCTTTAAACCAAAGTTTCATCTTTTCTTGTTGTCACCTCTACGAAGGATTAATCGTAACAGAAATTGTCTGCCGTCATTGAAGTAAGGAAATAATAGAAGTGAGAGGACATACAAGAGAAACAAGCCATCAGCATTTTAATAGAGCTTTAAAAATTCTATGAGGAAAAAAGTACTGGTTGATAACATATGGTTTCACTTCAGAGATTCAAATATCAGCATTGAAAACAAGAAAGTAAAGGAAGTATGTCCTGTAACACCAGTATTTTTGTTGGAACATACATGGCAAGTGGCATAAGCTTCATTAGTATTTCCACAGCAAGAATCTCTTCTTTATCTGTGCAAGGCAATGAACAGGGGCTGAGGGTGGTAAAAGAAGCACTCAGTTGTTTCAGTAGTGTTTGGTTCAAGCTAAGTCACCAATAAAAAAAAGAATCAGATTTTTCTATACATCTGCTGTCTGGGTGATGTTTCTGTGAGACCTAATCTACTAACTTTGTGAACAAAAACAAGCTTTTACTACTGTTAGCTCTGCAAAACCAATATAACCATGGCTGGACAAGCTGGAATTTTTATTACTGGCAATGAAGTAAAATTCAGACAGAAAACAGCTTGATTGTCAAACACAAATGTGTGAGTTAGAAAGACTGGCTGTTAGAAAAATCACCTTTTGACTTGTAAACTTATCAAAGTTTTATCAAAAAGAGATGGACAGAGTGCAGAATCTCCTGCTGTCATTTTCACAGTTACTTCTGGAAGCACTTCTGCTGTAGGGTTACAACCCTCAGCCCTCTTCCCTTCCTGCCAGCCCCATCCACCACTCACACACACAACTGCAGGAGCAAGCTGCAGAGTGCTGCAGAGCTCTGAGGGTTCCTGAGGTTTGCCAAGATCATACTGGATTACTTGAAGAAGTAAAAGATGTAGAAGAAAAGGTGCAGCTTCCTCTGGAGCTCTGCCCTGCTACACTCTGGGCTCTTCCACTGCCCCCTGAAAGATTTTCCCACCTTCACAAGACCAAAAAGTACAAGCCTAGAAAAGCCCCCTACAGACTTGCTGACCTCCTGTAAGATTCCTGCACACTGAACTCCTCAACCCTTGGGATCTATTCTGCTCCTGACAGGATCTGGAATCCTTATTGCAGGGCTGGGGACCTGCTGTGCCACACTCCACCAAAGGCAGTCCTTGCTCAGGCTGAGCTGAACAAAAAAGGCAGCTCTGTGCTCCTCACTCATCTTGTTAAAGGTTTGATCTCAGCTTTTTGTGAGGGGACCTATACAGCAGGATGCAGGATGTTATCAAAGGCAGCTGAGACTGAGTTTGCTCAAGGACTGGAAGCACTGGAGCTGCACCACCACAGTGCCCTGCACACATCAGTGCTGATGCTCACACAGCTCTGCTGCTGCTGCCCAGGCTGGCCAGCTCATTCCAAACTAATTCATGTTTTTCTGGGTACTATTGCTCCACCTCTGCCCTTCAGATGCAGCGAGAGATTTCTTTACTGGCTGAGATGAGGAGGAGTCAAATTGGAAAAAGCAAATCCCATTAATAGAATCCTCTACACCTGAATGTGAGATAAGTTTCTCCTGCCTCTCTAAAAACAAAAGAATGTTGCCGCTTGGCCCATATTAAAACCTCCTCCAATATCCAGGAAACAGTTTTTTTAATCTCTGCACAGCCTAAGATTGAGCCAAGAACGTGAGTTCAACAACAATCTTTTATGTATCTGACTTAATCCCAAATTAATAACTTAAACCCTAAATAAATAACCTTTTCCTCCCAGGGCATTGAGCCACTCTAAGGTCAGCATTCTGTTTCAAGAGGAGCTGCCAACCCCCTTTATCCATCCTTTAGGGACTCCTTTCTCAGAATATATGTGGACATGGACCATTCCAGCAGGGAAGAAAAAATTGTTATGAGAAGATGAAGTCCCAGTTTAGACCATATTGCTTGAGACCATGCTTTTGGATATCTTCCTATCAAGATGTACTTCAGGTGATTCCAGCACTTGCCTTAGGATCCAAGATCTTATCAAAGAAACCCTAAGTTTTTTAATTTTTAACTTTTGTTTCTTTTCTGACTACCAGACCTAGCATATCAAGTACTGAGGATACCCTGAGCCTCAGCTGTGCCAGGGCTCCCAACCCACACCCACTGGCCAGCAGAGCCCCAGACAGGAGGGCAGAGGCAGGAAGGAAGCACAGAGGACTGTTCCAGCCAGCACCAGACAGGAGCACTGGGAGTGCTGTGGTTAACTGGTCACCTGCTTTTGTTTCTGAAGGATTATTAGCCTGGGATTTTTTTTTTGCCTAGATTATTTTTCTCATCAGTTGGTAACTTCAGTTTGATGGTTTTATTGTTAATTTGCATTTTTTTACTGTAAATATCTGGGACACTGGATACCAGTGCTATCATTAATTATGCCAGCAGACAAACAACTCATCTATTTCTGAACTAAATTACTTCTAATTGCACATCCAACTCTTGCGCTCTCCTTATGCATAAAGAACTTTATGTCTTTTTTTCAAAAATGCATGTCATTACAGGGAGTGAATTGACAGTGTTCACTTCCTGACATCATCATCACTGGTTTTTACTTTTACATTTGTATCATGTAAGCACTGAAGTATACATCCCTATAAACCAACAGGAAAACATGAGCCCTGTCCCAGTGAGTCTGCATTCCAAGATGGGATTTCTTGTTAGCACTAATTCTTTCCACTTTCTTGGACTGATTATCAAAAACAATTACAAAGAGCTGTGCAAACTATGCATGCTGTCGCCTGCTAACACAAATAAGATGTATCATTACTTGGGCTTTTTCCTAAATCCATTTTCCACAATGCAGTATGACCCTCTCCTCCCTGCCCTCCCCAGCAACACACTTGGAACAGAAATTACCCAACTGAGCTTAATACACTGAACTCACAGCCAGTCATTCCTGAGCTTTTGCAACAGCCTCTGAAATGCTCAAACTATTGGACTGAGAAACAGTTTTTAGTTTTTATATATATTTCCACTTCTGTTTTTTTCTTTTTCAAATATCACGTTGATTAAGCTTTTGAATAGCACATCGCTTCAGCCAGATTTGGTGTCACTTGTATCCAGAAAAAAAAAATCCCACAGAAAAATAAATAACCACAACTCGAGTCACAGAGAGGAAAAAAAAAAAAAGCTCCTATAATTGAGACAAAGCTAAATAGCTAAATAAGAACTTTCAGTCCAAAAACCATGTGTAGTCCTTGCACCACAGTTGCTTATCAGTCACAAAGTAGACAAGCTACACTACAGCCTTGACTGACCATTATATATCATTCAAAGTTAACATTTTTCTGTTTGACCATCTTATCTTCCTTTATCTCCCTGCCTGAGTGAGGAGACCCACGAGTCACTAAGTAAAATATCATTCTAAATCCCAGAAGTCTTTGCCAAGGCACAATGTGATCAGTCTCAAGGATTTTTCAAAGAATCTGGTGGGTTTAAAATGATGGCTGGAAATACTGAAGGCCTTTCCCCAACAACTCCCTTTGTTTAGCTGTGCTTTATTTATTTTATTTTCTATTTATTTGGGGTAATTTCTAGTTCTATGAGGCTAACATTCTCTGGGGAAGGACTGTAAAGTTTACACCTACTTAGTAGTCCTAAAAATCTGCTGTTTAAGTAAGAGCAGTTAGAATCAAGCAACTGCTTTCTCTAAAGAGAGGGGTATTTCTAAAAAGTAAGGAAGTGCTGACCCACAGATGTAACTCCCAAGTGTGAAACAACATCATGTGAGTGACATGAAACAGGCAAGGGACTCCTGATCCCAGGGCATATGAGGACAGAGTGCACCACAAAAGACTGAGCTTGCTTAGTTTCTGGTTGGAGGGTGTTTACCCTGAAAATGCAAATGCATGATCTGTGGAACAACATTGTCATGAGCTTCAAAAATTTAATAGCCTAATGTTTATAGAGAGTGACACATTTTGGAAGGATGCTATAAAAAAAGGTGAAGAAGATTTAAAGAGCAAAAAATAAAACAGACACAGTAATTAGAGTTTAGGTTTATTTTCCATGGACTGGATTGGAAGGTGATGAAGTGTAAAAGAAACAACTGCTGAGGTTCAGCAGATCTTCCCCACAACACACAAACCTGGTACAGAGACAGGGCCAAGAGGCCTCAGCTCTGGCTCTTGCACATGGCTCTGGGTTACTTGCAAAGCGCTTCAATGAAATACCACCCCACCCTCAGCACAAGCTAGATGAGAGCCAGGTGGCTCAGTCTATTCACACACTCAAAAGGAAACACAGAGAACCAGTTTGTAGCCCCAGACAGAGTAGGGAGCTCCTGGGAAAAGCTCCATAAACGAAATGTGGGCTATTTAACACTAATGGTCACCAATTCTGCAAGTGCAAGAAAGAATGGATATTAAACATATAAAAGAACAGTTAGTTACATTAGAGACAGTGAACGTGACCCCATGAAAAAAAATGGGAATTATGAGAGTTATTGGGAGTGTATCTGGAGGAAAAGTAACAATTCCTTTCACTCAGTCCTCCTCAAAAAGAAAGCTGTCACAAAACCAGCTTGAGCTTCAGCGCTTTGGGAAAACATTGTCAAATTCCTAGTAAGGAGAAAAATCAATTTCAGATGCAAGTTCAGCTTGGTCACAACTATTTGTGTAGATATGCCCTTTACACAGCAAGTATCTGAACTGACATGGTTACAAAAATAGATGAAAAATGTCTAATTTTTATTATGAAATTGTGTCAGCACCAGCTGAATCATGTAAAACTAGAAGTCCATGATTAGTGTCAGTTATGACAGTTTCTATTCATAAACAACTAAAATTAATGTCCACAAACTACAATCAAGCAACTTACCCACCAACTGATTGTTTATGTTTTGTGCTATGAAAAAATTATTTTTCTCCAAAATATTACTCTTTTCTGTAAAGCAACACAAGAATACATCTACAATTCAAAATGTCTGTATGGAATTTTAAGCATAGAACAGCACTAAAGCTTTAAAAGCTTTATGAAAGATGAAAAAAATAATTTTTCTAGTACAGCAGATTAGAAATAAGTTTACTGCATTTTAGCTGAAGTTAGAGAAAAAAATTACCGGTTTGTTTATTTGTGTTTGTGTACACATCTGTGAAAATACTCCTCCAATATCAGATTGATTTATAATAATGGCCCTTTAAGGGCTATTGACCTTGGTGCAAATGATTAAGAGTACACTGTGTGTACTAAATAAAGGTTTTCAGGGTGACATCTGTTTACTAGCTATGCCTCTTTGTAAGCAAGATTCTGTCATTTCCAGAACAGTGTCCAGAGGGCGGGCAGAAGCTGGACCCTCCACAAAGACCTTCACCAAACAAAAGTACAAAGTAACAAAATGGAAAAAAGCTCTGAGAGGAGTTGATAGCAGTTTTGTCAGTGAGAGGACACAGTTTTTAATCCTCCTGTGTTTTAATCTTATTAATTAAAATATGTATTTATAAGCATTAGAAAAATGAAAATGGCAGTTGAAGGTAGAATGTAGTGGCAAAAGAAGAAAAGAAGAAAGAAACTTCTGCTATGTGTGACTGAACAAGTTAAAGAAAAACTACAGACCACCATGGGTGGCAAAGTAAGAAGGTTGAGTAGAAATGGAAATGGCAGTAAAATGGGGAGGGTTGGCACAGAGGCAGCTGTGGTGTGACATTCCTATCACAAATTGCCACAATTTGGCCTTACAATCAACTTGTCACCAAATTACACTTGATAATTCAGTATCTTCCATAATTATTATATGTATTATTATACTACTTTTCCCATTCTCAAACATAAATCTGGAATAGTTTCATGAGATAATTATTAACACTATGTCAGTTCTAAATGATGCAATTAATTAACTGATACATCAACTTTTCCTTAATAACCTGAAGTCACCGAATGCAGAGCCACTTACAGCCTGTTCTGAAGTGCAGTGTCCTATAGCAAAAGGCAAACAAACAGCAACAGAGGACAAAGGCCATTAACAATCATTTATTTGTCCTAATTCAAGGACTGTTCCCCCCTCTGTTTGCTCTACTGCCTGGTCTAGCCTACAAAGTCTTGCTGACAAAAAATACCTTTTCTTCCCAAAGGTTTGCAAATATTCACATCATGATTTCACACCTCAGCTGAGCTATTTCCTGTTAAATCTGTCTGTCCAAAAGAGGAAATATTCCAAAAAAGCACCAGTGTGTTGGCAGCATTCAGAGTGCTTGCAGAGTTCCTTGGAGCTCTCACTGCTAGCAATGCTGGCTGCAAAGGCATCATAAAAGCAGGCAAGTGGCTCACAGGCATCAGCTGCCAGAAACTATTACAGTCCAAAGGCTCAGCAAGGAGGAAAAGGCTCCATGTGCTCACTTCACTTGCATTTCACTTGCACAGTCCTGAATTCCTGGCACAGGTGTAACACAAATGTCCTGGGAATCCTTCCTATTGCAAATGCAGCTAGCATTAGCAAAACTGGTTTTGCTGGTATACTTCATACCAGTTCCTCAGCTGAAACAAGCTATTCTAACAAAAGCATGCTTCCCTCTATCCACTATTACTATATCCATAACAGAGATCTTTTCCAAAATAAAATATAGTTAAAACTCAAATCCCTCAATGATATTTCTGATCTAGGTAACGTTCCTCATACAGTCCTGTCCTTGACTGTATTAAGACCTCACCTAAGTGTGTCCTAAGGATAGTTCCACATGTCAAGAAATACAGGGAAGCTTTCTATTGTGGAAAAAGCTGTACCATTGTATTTTTACCCTCAAATGGCATAAACTACACTGCAACACACAGAGTAGTATCAGTATTGCTGTAATTAGAAGAAGACTTTACCCTACTTATGTCAGTAAGAGATCTCCAACCTGAAGAACAGACCATTGCAATTAAGTGACACTTGATGTGAGAGGAGATGCCTCAGCAGCTAGGACCCTAAACATTTGTTACTGCAACATCTGATGGGTCCTTTCAAGGTCATGGGCAGAAGAAGTTTGAAAATGTCTGCAAAAGTATTTACTCTTTGTCCAAGGAGAAACTGAAGAAACCCAGCTAACTGAACTGCAGTCCCCACTGTCTTCAGCAGGTGCTTTAGTAGTGCTCAGACTAAATTTTCTATACTGTCAGGA